CGGCCTGAACGGCCCCAACTCTCCCAGCCTGTCTCCATAGCAGAGGTGCTTCAGCCCTCAGATCATCTCCATGGCCTCCTCTGGACACGCTCCGACAGCTCCGTGTCCTTCTGATGTTGGGGACCCCAGAGCTGAATGCAGCACTGCAGGGGGGTCTCAGGAGAGCAGAGCAGAGGGGCAGAATCCCCCCCCTTGCCCTGCTGCCCACGCTGCTCTGGGTGAGCCCAGGACACAGTTGGCTTTCTGGGCTGCCAGCGCACGGTGCCGGCTCATGTTGAGCTTCTCATCAACCAGCAATCTCAGGTCCTTTTCCTCCGTGCTGCTCTCAATCCATTCTCCGCCCAGCCTGTCCTTGTGCATGGGATTGCCCCGACCCACGTGCAGAACCTTGCACTTGGCCTTGTTGAACTTCGCGAGGTTTGCACGGGCATCAGTAAAGTGTTTGTCCATCTTCCTTAGGCATTCAGGCATCTTGTAGCTGATGGTTCCAACAGGATGGAAATTAAATGTGATAACTTCGTACTGTGCACCTCAAAACTACCAGAGATAGGAGTTCCTAAAAAAACTCTTAACCTTCTTGTGCTTTGTTCCAGGCACAGCTGCGAGCTTTCATCCCTGAGATGCTGAAGTATTCCACGGGTCGCGGGAAACCAGGCTGGGGCAAGGAAAGCTGCAAGCCCATCTGGTGGCCTGAGGACATTCCATGGGCCAACGTTCGCAGCGATGTCCGCACAGAGGAACAGAAGCAGCGGGTGTGTGTCTCCCATGTCTGTCTGCCTTCAACTTGAGCACAGGGGCTTGCAACTAGCTTGTGTATGAATAGTTTTCACCTCGAGTGACAGAAGAAACTACAATGTTGGCCCATCCTTGACTTTGTCTCAGACTTTCAGCCTGGGAGGGCAATGAGATGAGAGAGGTGTAACCTTCAATCTGCTCTGTCCCTGCTGGGGTTGTGTGACGAGCAGGTGTTTGCACCACGTCTCTCTCTGCAGCGGGTGCCCTTTCACTAACTGCAGCACCTGCTCACCTCCGTGGCCTTACGGAGCAGCCCACCCAGCCTAAGACAAGTCTGCTCCCCAAGTATGTGGGTCATTTGCCGTAGAATCTGTATCATGGCCTCTGGAAGCCTTTGAAGAGATACTGTCCCATCCAGAGCCGCAGGGACCTTGGTACTTAAAGGGACGCGGTCAAGGATGAGCAGTGAAGCCAGGAAAAAATGAGAGAACTGGGTGAAAAAGCTTTGGGTATCACTTACAGCCATGGATCCTGTACACAGATGATGTTTCTACCAACCTGTCACAAAGATAATCAAAAATGCTGCCAGATGTGCAAGGGGCAGGACTTGTGCAGGCTGATGTAGGTCTGGTTGGGTGGGAGGGATGCCTAGTGAGGCTGGAGATGGTGCTGTGGCAGCCGGTGCCTTCCTAGGTAGGGGTGGTTTTCTACTTGTGGGCCCTAATCCCTTCGAATTCCGTGAAAGCTGGTGAAACAGATTCCATTGAGAAACTTCCCTTTCCCTTGGCCAGATGTGCTCATTCTCTGTCAGGACACAGAAATGCAATAGCTCTCCAGGGTGGTTTTTGAGTCTTGAGGAAAGTGGAGGATGAGAAGACAGGGATTAGATATTGGGGGCCTTTTGTTTGTTTGAGAATTTATTGAAAACCACTCAATAAAACCCAGTAAAGATAAGCGTGCAAATCCTAGTGGTGGCAGCACTGCAGTGGTTCAGAAAACGTCTTTAGACCAACTCTTGGCTCCTTTCGATTCCACTGGTAGGTGTCATGGACCCAAGCACTCCGGACTATTGTGAAGAACTGCTACAAGCAGCACGGGCGTGAAGACCTGCTCTACGCGTTCGAGGATCAGCAGACACAGCAGCAGACTACGACCACACACAGTATAGCACACCTGGTGCCGTCGCAGACAGTGGTACAAACCTTCAGTAACCCCGATGGCACCGTGTCCCTCATCCAGGTGAGTGGAACCTTCCGGCTTTGCGTTTCCAGCACAGCTGACTCGGGATCGAGCTGCGTCAGGGAGGTGGTTTAGAGCAACCTCCTTTTGGTAGCGTAACGTGTCCTTCAAGAATTTTGTCTCAATCTGTACGTCGTAGCCAGCGGGCTTCTTAACCCAATGCTCCCACCCAAAGAAGCCATCTCATCCTCTCTCTCTTCCCCGCTCCCATCCCTTATGCTCCTGCTTCCTGCAGAAGCATTTCTGCAGCTATTTGGTCAAGCAATTCGAGGATCTGGCCTGAATTTAATGAACCCATTTATGAACAAACACAGTTCGTGAGGTGGCCACACAGCGCCAGTGGTGGCAATGGGATGGAGCGATGGGAGGAGAGGTGGTGGGACTGCCTTTCTTCAATGGCATGAAACATAGCTTCATCTACAGCATTAGGTGTTTCTGTGCCCTCTGTTCTTCATCTTACGCCTGCAGTGTAATATATATATTACACACACCAAATATATATTTATCCTCATGATCCAGTATCTAAAGGGGCTACAGGAAAGCTGGAGAGGGGCTTTGGACAAGGGTGTGTAGTGACAGGACACGGGGCAACGGCTTTAAACTGAAAGAGGGGAGATTGTGATTAGATATAAAGAAGAAATTCTTCCCTCTGAGGGTGCTGAGGCACTGGCACAGGTTGCCCAGAGAAGCTGTGGCTGCCCCATCCCTGGAAGTGTTCAAGGCCAGGTTGGATGGGGCTTTGAGCAACCTGATCTAGGGGAAGATTGCCCTGCCCATGGCAGGGGGGTTGGAACTGGATGATCTTTGAGGTCCCTTCCAACCCAAACCGTTCTGTGATTCTATGAAACTTCCCAAGAGCTCCTTGTTGGGTGTGGGATTTGAACCTCAGTTTCCCCTGTGTCCCTGCCTCCAAACCACCACTGCTTTCATACCTAACTGGCCCAGCCCTTTGTCCCTCTTGAGCATCATGTTGTTCTTGAAGTATCAAACATAATTTTCTGTTGGTTGTTCTCATCTCACAACCATGAAGATAAAAACATGGTATGTGGGGTTTTTTGGGTGGTTGGTTGTGTTGTTTTTTCAAATGAAAGCTTCCCAGCAATTTTAACAGCTTTCTGTTCCCCTCTCCAAGGCCTGGCAGACTTGCCAAGCTGGTTCTGTTTGATCCTGAGATCCCATTGACTTTCTAGCATTTAAAGGTTTAATTTTCCTTAGAAACAAAGCTCCCCACCTTTGTCTTTTCCCAGCTGTTAAGTGGGGAAAAGGTAATTTCCAAAGGCAGTGGGGTATTGAGGATGAGCTACTGTGCCTGAAGATGAAAGACCCAGTGAATGGTAAGCAAGGAGCATTATAAAGAGGGCTGATGTGCAGGGTGTTCTGATCCAGGACTACTCGGTGCTTTTTTAAGGGCCTTCCACCTTGTGGGAGAAGCGTGGACATTTTCCTGCGATAACGAGTGTGTTCAACTCTGTTTTGTTCCCTTCCGTAGGTTGGCACCGGTGCCACAGTTGCCACGCTGGCCGATGCCTCGGAGTTGCCCACCACGGTTACCGTCGCGCAAGTCAATTACTCTGCAGTGACTGATGGAGAGGTGAGGACCTGGGTCACGGTCGTGGTGCACGAACCAGGATTATCCTTTCTGAAATTCCTTGAAATTAAATATTCTCTAGAAGGAAGTGGTGGCATACCAAGTGCCCAACTGTTGTCATTTTGACTCAGGACTGCACAAATGCTGTTATGGTGGAAGCCTCCGTTCTGAATTTAATCCTTTTTTTTTTTTTTTTTGATATCTCCCATAGGTTATTTATTTTGTGAGATCTGCTGTAGCCAACAGAGACTTAAAGACATACTCAAGTACACATTTGTGAATTAATATTGAATAAGTTCCGTGTGAGCTGTGCACCCTGGGTGCTTGTTTGTCGGTTCAGGGTTGGGAGCGATGCCTGGGATATGTTGAGCCTGTGGTTAGCAAAGGGTATTGCATGGCTGTGGGCAAATCCTGTGAGGTTTTGGCTACTGATCTCTGGATGCGATGGGACCGGTCCTTTGCCGCGGCTTTTAGGGAGGTTTGCAAGTAAATCCCCGAGAGCGCCGCCTGCCGCGGAGTTACCGTGCCCTTTACTCTGCAAGTTTCCTCCACTGCTTTACAACTTGGCAAAGTTATTTTGCCGAGGCCATTTTGATTCCTAAATCTGGATGCTCAAATTTGCTTGCATTTATTTTTTCACCTTTTTTTTTTTTTGAGTTATAAAGGTATTTATGTGTGTTTAAGGAACATTCCTTTAAGATTATTAAGATTTTTTAAATTTTTTAAATTTTTTTTTTACCCTCTTCACCCCCAAGCCCACCTTTTAACCAGACTGCAGGTCGCTTTCTGCCCCTTTGCGTGCCAGAGTGGTCAGGTCATAGAATCATAGAATCACAGAATGGTTTGGGTTGGAAGGGACCTCAACGACCATCCAGTTCCAACCCCCCTGCCATGGGCAGGGACACCCTCCACTACACCAGGTTGCTCAAAGCCTCATCTAACCTGGCCTTGAACACTGCCAGGGATGGGTCTGGTCTGCTCTGTGTGCTTAGGGCTTTCATAGCGACAGGTGGCAGCACAGAACAGCTTTGCCCTGCACCAGTCCCTGTTTCCAGCTCAGACCCGCAGTCAAACAGCCTGGCCTTGGGGCCCTGACCTTGAAGTACTTTGCAGCAGCTTTGAGGGTTTTCAAGAACCGGTTATATCCCTCGAGATCTGAAAGAAGGTTTTCAAAGGCACAAACAGAAATCAGGGGAACACAGGCATCTAGTTCCTAATGTGAACGGAAAGTCTAAGCGATATCTTGGACAAAATAAAGATAGAAAAGTAAACTTACTTTGGGGATGGGTGCTGTTTCTCTGCACAGATAGATCCACAGCCTGCCAGCAGCCTTTCCAGGGATGTTTTTGTCCTACTGTCTCTTGCTGCTTGAAGATCTGAGTTATCTCTGAGTGAATTGATGCGTTTGTAGGACACTGAGCAGCAAAGAGCAGGGATGCTGACTAGTATCTCCACAGCACAACCTTCGTTTTAGTGTGGAGAAGGGCCTGGACAGTCTCCCCTTTTTTCCAGGCCTTACTCTGTCCCTGTTCTGAAACAGCTTAAGTGTCTTTTTGGGGTGCTGTATGTCACAGTGGAGACCTGCCTTATCACTCACGTGTGTTGCCACGTGTTTGAAAAAATATATGTTGGTTCCTGTTCCGCATGGTTGTGGGAAGGGTGTCTTTCCCAGCTGGAGCTTTCTTCGGTTCAGTTTTGGCATGGCTAACGAGCACCACGAACTCGGTCCACCTCTCTCTTGAGATCTCTACCATCTGCAACTTCTTCCTCTCTGGGCACTCAAACTTCATTGCATCTTTCCTAAAAGGCCTTGCCTTCTCTAAAATCAACTTCCTTTCTCCTTCTCCTGATGCACTATGTCACTGCCTCCTCCCTGCTCTCCATCCTTCTGCCCAGGGTCAGCTCTGGGCACAGGAGGATGAAGCAGTTCCCTTGAACGTTAGTCCTGTGATGGGACTAACCCTTTTCTTGCCCAAAGGCAGCAGAATTTACTTGTCCTTTTGTGGGGAGCCTTGAGTCATCTCCACTTCTAGGGACTTCTTAGCTTTCTCTATCTTAACAAATCGAGGGCTTTTTTTCATCACTTTCTACAACATTCTTGTTTGTGAGTCTCAGCAAGATGGTGAGTGGCCAGAAACATTTACAGGGAGGAGAACAGTGACAGGAGGGTGGTGGAAGATCATAGAGTCGTAGAATGGTTTGGGTTGGAAAGGACCTTAAAGATCACTTAGTTCCATGTCCTCTGCCATGGTCTATATGCCAGGTCTTAATCTTGCAAAGCAGCCAGTAGGATCTGTCAGCTGATGGGCCTTCATCCTCCACTTCTTTTTTTTTTTTGGCCCTTAGTTCACATCCTGGTGGATTTTGTGGCTGTACACTCATTGTCTCATGAGCTGTGAAGTCCCAAATGGAGAAATGTGAGCTAGGTGGAAAATGAGCAACTGAGACTGAGTGAACTTGAAGTAATATGAAACCTGTCTACGTGAAGGTCTGGAGTAAGGGAATTGAAAGTACCTGAAATATATGAACAGAGCACTTTGCATCTGCCATCTTCTTTTATTAAATATGTTGCTGCAGCACAAAGAAATTCCAGTTGGCTCAAACCCATCTGAGTTCACCAGTGCTGTACCAACAAATCCTGAATGGGAGCATGGACTGTTCCCCAAAATGACAGCGTACAGTGCAGACAGA